CAGAGCGGTGGCGACGGCGGCGGGGGGTAGGTAGGGTACGATTTGGAAGGGCTAGGCCACTTGCTTGTCCCCGCTGCCTGCACGCGCTCATGTGTGCACACGCACACAGACAAAAACATGAAGCTGCTTCTAGGAAAAACATAAAAAATGCCCGACGCCGACGCGCTTCAGCGACAGTTAAGGACAAGGGAAGGTGAGTCAGGCCACTTGCAGCGGAAGGGCCGATGCCGCTCGCCTGTCGCGGACACAACACCAAACAGCTCTGAACGGATGGGGCCTACTTGATGGATGGGAAGGGTCAGTGCCGCTTGCTGCAAGAGCTACAAAAACAGCCAACAGCATCAGCCAAATGCCACGGACACGAGGAGGGAGGACATCGGAAGGGTTTCAAGCCGCTTGCTGGGGAAGGGCTAAGCCACTTGCGTCTCAACTCCGTTTCCAAAACGTTGGAAGGGCGTTGCCGCTTACTCAACCCATTTTTCAACACGTTGGAAGGGCATTGCCGCTTGCTTTTTCCACGCCCGCTCGCAATATTTAGAAAACGAAGCACAGCCAGAGCACGGGGGTGTGTTTGGAAGGGCTCTCGGGTGCACCACTTGCTCACCCTCTCTTTCGTTCCTATGTCGTCGGCTTCCGTTGAGCTGTCGTTTTCAGCTCGCAACACGACGAGGGTACGTACGCAGAGTGCCTCTTGCTCGTGATAAACCGCACACCAAAAAAAGCACGCGGGAAGAAATGAGCAAGGGCAACAGGGCACACGCGATAACAGGGGGCCCCGCGACTAGCAGCGGCACCGCTAGCAGCTTGGTTTATCAAAAATAACGGAACAAACAAAAAAAGGCTTCGGAGTCAGGCATAAAACAAACAAAATACAGCCGGCAGACAACAACCGACACGTGATGCAACGCAACGATGCTACTGCTGTAGCTTACACGCGAGACAGCCCTCTCACCAGATCCCGAGACCTGGAAACGGCCACGTCCATGCCCATGCTCTTCCGCTTGGAGAACGAAACGTGTAACCGTTCGAGGTAACGCTTGTCGGTGGGCAGAGGCTGGCTGCACACGTCGTCGAGGCTGCGTCGTGAAGTATGCATACGTGCATGTTTCGCGGACATAGAAGGGGAACAACGCAAAAGCGAAACTTGACGCCATCAGCACGGCATTATTGGTCACAATCCCCGCACTCAACTGCAATCTCGAGACGAAAAAAGAGCATAATCAAGACCATGAACAAATAGCAGCACATGTTCGGTGCGAGGCGGACGACTCACGGCACACACTCTTCCAAGGCTGCGCCGCATATCCAGAAATGTTTCAAAAAAAAAACAAAGAAGCACACAGGCAAGACGCCGTCGCGCTTCCCGGTAAGCATCCTCAGGCAAGAACACACAAAAAAAAAAAACTCACACAGGCAGGACGCCGTCTCGCTTCCCGGTAAGCATTCTCAGGCACGAGGACGAGTAGACGGAGGCCGAGACCGTCACGTCGATCCCTTCCTCCGCGTAAACTCGCAGCTCGTTCTCGAACACCTTCGTCGATTCACGGAACAAAGAGAAAAAACAATACTAATAAAAAATTGATGTCGTTGCGGTTTGGGACAAGCAGCACGTGCACAGACTGTGGTGCGAGGCGTCAACACTTGCAGTGTACGTACGTACAATACACACCATTCTGCCGAGGTGCAGCAAACGCACGCACTTCACACGCGCGACAAATAACACGGATAACACTATTCGAGGACTACCGTACGTGAGGCATCATCAAGACCTCTGATGAAAAGTCCAAACAAGCCTCAAGAGACTTAAAAAGAAATCCTTGCGGGACCAAGCCCCACTACATTGACGATGGTGCGAGGCACTACCACCGTAGCCTGCCGACACTAGTCCACACATATCACACCTGCTTGTTGAAGTCACCCTGCAGAGACTCGTTGGCATAGTTGATGAGCAGCTGCTCCAGGTTGTTCTTGTGCCCGAAGTTTTCAAACCCTGTTCGGTTTTTATACGACGAGACGATGTAGAGTTGAAAGGAGACCAGTATGACAAAGGCGAGGCGAAGAAGCGCACGTAGTGGCAACATTAAACTTGAAGCGGACAAGGTGCAATAAATTACACCAAAGAAACGATGATTGGTTGTGTCTGCGTACAAATCCCTTACAACTTGGAATGCATATCATGGATTGTATTTCGTACGGTGGTTCTTCTTCGGCAATGTGTGCGATGCCTAAAGCACAGTACATCTCAACGGGGAAGAGGCTCGCTTTGACCGCATCAATTTATAGCAGTTAAGAATACGAAAAAGCGTAGACGAAGAGCCGAAAACATTGAAGTACAACGCACACGACGAACGACCACAACACCTACCGAAGATGTCGAGCAGTCCGATGAAGGGCAGCTTGTCGTCTCCCTTGACCTTGGTGCCCCCTAGGGACAGGTTGATCGCCTTCACAACCCACATAAAGATGGCTTCGTACAGCGACTTGGTCGCCGCATCGCGAGATCGGACGGCCTCCTTGATCGCCAGCCGTTTCGTGAATACCTCCCCCCTCGTAACCGGCACCACCTTTCCAACAAACAAATGGCAAGTTGTTGTGGTCATGGCTGGAGCTCAGAACGTCGCATTCCATGCCAAACAAGAAGAAAACAGCTATTTCTCTTAAGGGAAGGCTGTCAGCGCATGGAACCGCATCGAGGGAAACGAAAACAAGGTATTTGTGGGACGACCAGAAACACACGCATACATTACCTTGAGGGTGAGCATGTCTTCCAAGGTTTTCTCTTCCACGCCCAATAGAGAAGCCACATTCGCCAAAGTCTGCAGTAGCAGCATCACCACCAACAACAACAAAACAAGCAGAAGCCATTAAGGTTGGGAACGGAGAAAGAGTCAGATTTAGTTGTGTTCGGGGCCTGGTTTTTCCATTGCTGTCAGCCAGTACACCGGACACCTAAACTTTACAACGAAGAGAACACCTCTGCCGCATATGAGAAAGATACATGCATGCAAGTCAGTATGCCGATGCCTTGTGTTCACCACATTGTTGATTTGACAATGAACGCCACCTCTCGTAGTAATCAGAACAATGTACAAAACACTTTTTTAACATGAACAAATGAAAGATGCAAAAAAAATGATTTACGGCATCCTTCTCGACAACTGCTGCACGGCTCCGGTGGCTGTCGCTGTGCTCACCGTTTTATCGGAGATCGCCGCGACCGGCCCCTCCTGGTGATCGGCCTCGTGGAACTCCAAGGTCGACAGGTGGAGCACCGCCGACAGCGCTTTCCACACCTGTGTGTACAGCAGTACCCCGCAGCACACAGCACACGCGAAAAGAGAGACATACACCAGAGTAAACGATCAGCGGCACAAATGAACCGCAAGCAACGCACACAGGCTCCGTTCCTCTGCAGACAGAGTGAACAATTAGTTGAGCATGTGCTCTGCTGCAATCAGGCCCAAAGAGCTACGTGAGGGGGAGGACGAAAGAGTGAGGGTGAAAGGGCGGAAATTCTCCTTCTTCATCCCCTTCGCCACTCCTCACGACGCGAGAAAGAAACAAGTCACGTGTCACCCTATAGGTTAACGTCACTGCACTGGCCAGATTCGGG